TCAGTGGCTGGGAAAGGGGGTGGTTTACAAAGTTATTGCTATCAAAAGCCCAAGAAAAACACCTGGAATAGGAAACCGTAGAATGAAATGAGATTCCTGAATGTTGTGGACTTTAATTTTTAAATACAATTTAATACGTTTATTTCAAAAGCAGATACAGCATTAGTTGAACAACACAACTAACCTAGCTTAACTGACATATAGAACACTGTCCTCTAAACCTACAGTATATATACTCTTTACACTGGAAGCATATTACCAAAATTGATCATAGCTGGACCAAGTGAGCCTCATAGAATTTCAAAAAAATTAAAATAATTGAATGTTCTCTGAACTGAACACATGGGATTAAGCTAGGAAAAAGAAACTGGGGAGTCCCTAACTTTTTTTAAAAAATAGTACAGTTCTAAATAATACTGCATCACTGAAGAAATTACAAAGGAAATTAGAGAAAATTTTTAATTGAATGATAGTGAAGATATGCCATATCAAAACGTGGTACACAGGTAGAGCAGTACTTAAAAGAGAGATTACCTTAAATTCACACATTACAAAAGAAAGGCCGAAGTCAGTGATATGAGTTTTTATGTCAAGAAACTGGAAAAGAATACCAAATTCAAAAAAATGAAGAATACAAACAAAAAGCAAGTCGGTGAATTAGAAATCATGTACAGTAAAGAAAATCAACAAAGCCAAAAATTATTCCCTTGAAAGCATTAATAAAGTTGATAAACCCTTAGTAAACTGATTAGGAAGAAAAAAAACATTTATCAACAATATTAGAAATGGAAAAAGACATCACTCTTAGAGTTACCAATCTTTCATAAACCCAGAGACTAGAAAAAGGGAACATCCAATTCACTTCTGAAGCAGCATGACCCAGCCACCAAACCCTGTCAAGAATACACAAGAAAGGAAAACGAGACCTAAACTCTCTTGAATATAGACATAAAATTCCCAGACAAAGTAAGCAAATCAAATACAGCTATGTAAAAATGATAATCATATCTATCTAATTTGGGTTTACGTCAAAAATATAAGATTGATTCAATACTTGAAAATGAACCAGTGCAACCCACCACATAATCAACATGTGAGGAGAAAAATCATAATCACCTAGATGTAGAAAATTCAGTACTCATTCATGATTAAAAAAAAAAAAAATTTAAAAACCAATAATAGAAGGACACATCTTTAATAAAAAGTATCGTATCAACAAAAACCCTATAGTAAACCTCTCAATAATAAAATATTGAAATCATTCTCCATGAGATGAATGAAATAAAGATGTTCACTATCACACCTCCATTTATTATACTGGTCCCAGCCAATGTGATAATACAAAAGATTATTATAAAGGGGAAAAAATGCTGACAACATGATTGTGTACTTAAATAATCCAAAAGAATCAAGCTCTTTTTTTCTTTTTTCTTTTTTAATTTTTAATTGTTTCTTGGGGTAACATTGGTTAATACAATTACATAATTTTCAGGAGTACATTATCATTTGACATCTATATATTCTATTGTGTATTTACCACCCAAAGTCCAGTTTCCTTCAGCTACCATATATTTGGTCCCCTTTACCCACTTCACTCTCCCCCTAAACCCTATATTTGACTCCCATTACCCCGTCGAACTCCCCGCTCCCCCACCTCACTAGTAACCACTAGTCTGTAGTCCGTGTCCATGAGTCTGTTTGTTTGTCCTGCTTTTTGTTGAACAAGCTCTTAGAATTAAGTGAATTTAGCAAAGTCAGAATGCAAAGTCAATACACACAAAAAAATTGTTTCTAAATACAATATATAGAAAAAAATTTTAAATCACAATCATTTAAGAAATCAAGTAGCTAGAAATAGATATATCAAAAGATATATAGAACCTTTACATTGCAAACAGTGAAACATTCTGAAAGAAATGAAACACCTACATAAATGGAGAGAATTATCATCTCCGTGGGATGGAAAACAATATTATAAAGATAAGAATTCTCTCAAATGGATGTTTAAACTCAGTTCTAACTAAAATCCCAAGAAGTTTATTTTTATGAAAATTGATAAGCTGATTCTAAAATTTGTATGGAAATAGAGTTCCAAAAGAGCCAAGGCAGTCTTGAGTAAGAACAAAATTGGAGCCCTCCCCTTCCCATATACATTTCTTTAACTTTCAACCTTTTAGTAATACCTTGTTGTACATGAGTCTTACAAATAGCACACACTTGTATTTTGTTGTATGACCTTTTCTGAAAGGTCTCATTATGGAATATTACACCATTTGTATTTTTTATTCTAACTTCTATTATCTCACTGTCTGGTTTATCTTTCTTCC